TTGCTTTGTCTAATGTTCATGTCCTAGCTTGTCTACCAGGGTGACATCTATGTCTTAACTAGTCAACCAGGATGTCAGTTATCCACATACATATTTCTTTCTGTCAAGGATGTCAGTTTCCAGGAAGTGCTGTTGGGTAGTTAGTTCAAGTTCAACCTTATTGCAGGAATATAAAACAGTTCTACTGACTTCTATTGTGATTGGTTTTCAAGGGCACAGATCATAATCAAATATGTAATCAATCTTGGCATTAGAAAGTTTCCTTATATGGCAGGCTATCCAGGTAGAAGTTACCTAGGCCTTCCTTTTTTTTTTTTTTTTTTTAAAGAATTATTTTATGTATGAGTACACTGTAGCTGTCTTCAGACACTGAGCCACCATGTTGTTGCTGGGAATTGAACTCAGGGCTCTTGCTGAGCCATCTCTGTAGCCCCTAGGCCTTAATATTTTACTTAGGACCTAACATTTATGACATTCTAACTGACTTCAAAGCAACCAGAGACTTTGAGGGTCCCCAATACCACTCACCTGATAATACTCAATACCATAGTTAAACCTAGTTATGCCACCAATGTATGAAGACACAGCTCACCTAAGACCCTTATCTGCAAGTCGAACTGGAAATTAGGAAACCCAGCTGTTGTAAAGCCTCATTAACAAACAGGGATTCGGCTAACGAGTTTGTGAGCAAGATTAACGCATGGCAGTAGATGCTTCTTGCCATGGTACTACAGTGAGAAGGGGACCAGAGAAAACCCAGCCCCAGGAAGAACCGGTTATTTCAATCCCTTCTATAGAAGGCATTGCTCTGGGGGAACTGCAAGCAACCTCATCAGTCCCCACGTCCTTCCAACATTAACAGTCTGTGGTTACTACAGTGTCTGTGCCAGGTAGACAGGAACACTACTAGGCACTGTGCAGGCTGGCACTCCAAAGTGAAAAAATGACAGCCAGAGACTGGCCAAGCAGAAGGGCCTTACCACTGAACTTATCGTTGGTTCTCTCTTGAGGCCAGATGGCTTCTGTCAGGAGACAGCTTTAGGGTCTAGGTGTGATGCTTCAGGAAGACATTCCAGAGGTCTCTCCTCCCAGATAGCCTTGAACTGTATAAAGGACAACAGCTCCCAGAGTAGATCTAGCACTATATCCTTTACTCAGAATGGAGCTGGGGGAGAAGGGATGGGAAAGCTGAAGAGAGTAGTTAACTTGTCCTTTCTCCCATGGAAGTGGGGGTGGGGGGCTGTAAAGGTATAATGAACAGAACATCAGATTTCTTTGGAAACACTCAGTGTGTTATATACATGCGGAGGCCAGAGGACAGCTTGTATTGGTTCTGATTTTTCCATGTGGAAGAGGTCAAATTTTGTTAGGCTTTGGGACAAGCGCCTTTACCTTCTAAGCTATCTTGACATCCCATTAAATTTTAAAACATTCCTTTTTAAAGCATCTTCATGAACTGAAGGCCTCTGGTGGGTCAGTGGCACCTGTATGTCGGCAGCACCCAAGGGCTAAGGCATGGATTGGGACGGCATCCGGGCTTTAAAGTAAGACTGTCCCAAGGCACAAAACTCCTGGTAGTTCTAGAAGGGAGTCAGGAATTATTGAATTTATGAATGAGATTCTGTGTGTAAAACCTAAAATTCAAACAAATCAGTCAACTAATACTGTGTTAGGACTAGGAATACAAAGAAAATAACCAATCTGAGCTTGCTTTGCTTTAGAGTGTTTTTAGATTTACATATTTCATGTGCTTAAGTAATTTGGTTGCTTGAACACATATGACTGCACACTGTGTGAATGTAGGATGCCCTCAGAGGTCAAAAGAGGGCATTGAAAAGAGTTGTGAACTGCCAGGTTGGTGCTGGGAATCAAACCTGGGTCCTCTGCAAGAACAAGGTTTTTTTTTTTAAGATTGATTTAATCTGTCGCTGTCTTCAAACACAGCAGAAGAGAGCATCGGACCCAGTACAGATGGTTGCGAGCCACCATGTGGGTGCTGGGAATTGAACTCAGGACCTCTGCAAGAGCAGTCAGTGCTCTTAACCGCTGAGCCATCTCTCCAGCTCCCAAAACAAGCTTTTAACTGAGCCACCCCTCCAGCTCCTGCTTTTTTTTTTCCCTAGTGACTTAAAAAAGTTTAAAAATGAGTACATAGGGCCTGGAATGTAGTTCAGCAGTCAGTCTGACACGTGTGAGGTCCTGGGCTCCATGCTGTGTATCCATGCTTTGAGTCTGCAGTTTTCATACTGCTTTACACGTTCCTAGTCACACGAGTGATCTAGAGCACAGGCAATGGGGAGGGGAAGGTGGAGACTATGGGTGGGAATAAAAAGTCATAAAAAGTACCAACAGATTTTGTTGTTGTTGTTGTTAAAGATAGGAACTCCCCTGGCTGGCCGGGAACTCAACAGTAGGCCAAGCTGCCCTCCAACTCAGTTTGCCTCTACTGACCAAGCGCTAGGATTAGAGGTGAGCACAGCCACACCTGGCGACACTTAAAAGATTTAACTATGAAAACCTTGAAAAATTTGTACTACACACACACAACTAAAATACACCCCTCCCCTCCACCACTGTTTGGGTATGTGAATGCAGAAGACAGAGAGGACACTGGGTGTCATTCCTCTCAGGGCAGGTTTCTCATTGAAACTGGAGCTCCCCAGTTTGACCCAATCGGCTGAGTGTTGGACTCGAGGACTGCCTTGGCAGCATGGCAAGCAGTAGTGACTGAGCCATCTTCCCCATTCTGGTGAAGCTACTTTAGAGCAAGGCTGAAGTGCTGGTGAGGCACACCTCTAAGTGACCTGCAGTGTGTGCTGCAGCAGAGCTTAAGGTTGGTGGTCACCATCTCACTACTGGTTTTAGAGAGAACACCTCTCATTTCCCTATAGGATGTGGGAGAATGCCACTGTATAGAGGAATAAAGGCCAAGACAAAGACAAAAGTTGAATTTTTTTTTTTAAAAAAGCACAAAACCCCTACATACTAAAATGATACATATCAAGTATTGATCCAAGCTTACATCGACCTATTGACAATTACCAGCACCATGTTTTTTTTCTTACCTAGGTTATTAACCTATTGACAATTTCCAGCACCTAGGTTTTTTCTCACCATGCCTGGAGGATCGTTATTCAAAGTATATGTTCCTTTAAAATTAAAAAACAAAAAACAAAACAAAAAAACTCTTAGGACAAACCCTCAAGAAACAAGCAAGACCTTTTAACAATCAGGTTACTCATGACACCATCAAATTCCCTTTAGAAAAATAATAGGTTTAAACACTTTTCCAACTGATGGACTTTGAGATACTGTTATTCAATGTGACAAATGAACCAACCTTCCCGATGGTGGGTGATGCACTGGAATACCCTAGAGCCTCCACATGGAAATGTGAGCATCCTCCTTGGTTGCTAAAGCTGTGCACTTCTGAATTTAGACCCAGTCACCATGAAATCTAAATTAGGTACAGCCATAAACTTTAAATGATGAACAGAATTAGGGAAATAGTTAAAGTTCTCAGAAACATAAGTTACAATTATAGATATATTTAAACAGGCTATAGGAAATTTAATACCACTTAAAAATTACATTTTAAACTACTTAGTTTCATTTTGCCGCTAAAATTCTGAATGGCATTTTACATCCAAATAGGTACTGGAGGTTTGGTATTTCCCAACTGAGAAGAGCACAGACCCTTCTTTTCTTTACTGTTCACATCTCATAAACCCTCAGAGACAGTATGGTCACCTGGTAGCTCGCTTCTCAGGGAACCAACTTTTTTTTGTTTTGTTTTGAGACACAGTTTCACTATGTAGCTCTGGCTGGCCTAGAACTAGCTATGTATTCTGGGCTGGTCTCAAATTCTGAGATCTGCCTCTTTCTCCCCCCCTCCCCCCACCTAAGGCCCAGGATTAAAGGCAGGAACCACCATGCCTGGCAAAGACAGCTTTTTAAGAGGCTCCAGATTAAATATAACCCTTGGCAGCTTTCTCCAGAGGTCAGCCTGACTTACTGTGTCCCAGTCCCTTGACCTGGTGTACAGACAGAGGTTCATTTACCTTTGCTGGGAAGGTGTGGAGGAACACTGGCACCTCAGTGACTGGAGTCAGGGTGAAGTGAAACGCTCCACTCTAGAGCCAGGCGCTACCATTTGTTCTCACCAATATTGTTTAAGTGACACTGGTTAACTAAGTGACACTGGTTAACTAAGTGACACTGGTTAACTATTACACTTGAAAAATTTTGAAGTGGAATTTTCTCCAAGGCTGAGACTAGGCACAGTTTTCCCAGGAACAGGCAGAGGGTTTTACTCACATTCCCTGCAAGCAGGAAGAAGAAGAGTGCTTTTCATTCCGGATTGGAAGCAGCTATACTCCATTTCTGTCTCGCCTGGCCCAGAAACATATAGGTGGAGCCAGGCAGCTACAGGAATGGCCACGCAGAGGGGCAGGATCAGCAAAGGCATTGCATAGTAGCAAGCTGTCAAGCCTGGGCACCAAGGACATTTTAAGATTACTATGCAGCAAGACTAGAAACTTCTCGACTGAGAATGAGAGCTCCCACTACTTCCTAAATTACTGCCCAGTATTCCCGAGGGTGCCTGCTGCCCTGTGATGGCCGCAGGATTGAGTGGATGTGAATAAGGGGCAGGATTTGGCGGGAGGGGAAGCAACGCCGACAACTCCCGGTCTCACTGCTTCCTCACTGCTTCCTCACTGCTTCCTGATGGGTAGGAATACAAACTTTTAGGTTCCACTTTAAAAAAAAAAAAAAAAGGAGATTAAGTTTTGTAACTGTTATTGATGATTCTGGAAAAAATAATTTGACATATATGTCATAAAAAATTCTGTGTCCAAAAGGTGCTTGGTGCTGTTTTTGATGGGTCTGGTGTCTGTTTACATTCGAAATCATTTAAATACAGCCATTACACAGTTGATAAATGTTTTAAAATAAATGGTTATCTATTTTTTAACTGTCTTTCAAATTAGAAATTGTAATTATAAGAGTACCAGAGGCTGGCTCTGTGTGTTTTATTATTTTTGTTGGTCTCCATCACAGATGGAATTTTTCACTGGTAATTCCTCAGAACTAAATCCATTCATAGGGAATTCAGAGCAGTGAAAATAAATTTCACGCCTTAGAGTAGGAAATGGTAACAATAAAAAGGAGCCGAGGGATCTTGGAAGAAGGCAAGCCCAGCTCAGTTCTCCACTGGTGTTGGGTTTTGCACAGGCTGGCTCACTATAACCTGCACCACATAGTCCTTGGGGATCTTCAGCTCCTCCAGCTTCATCTTATCAGTGAGAGGCCTGCCAGAGAAGAACCACCGCTGGCTGCCTGGCTCCACACCCTCTGTGGCATGTAAACGCCTCTTCATGTGAAACACCGTGTCTGTGCTGCGGACCACAAGCTTGAGGTCTTTGCCTGTGGAGAGCCGCAGACGGAGCTGAGATTCGTGTCCAGAATTGGGAGGTGGCTCAGGAATATCCAGAGTCTCTATGTCACTCTTTTCCTCTATCATGTTGATTGGTGGTGCCAGGCAGTAGACTGGCAGCTGGTACCGGTTTCCCAGCTCATCGTAGCACTCTGTCAGTGCACCTGCAGAGAGAGGGGCCAGGGACAGTCCAGTGAGTGTCAGCTTCTGTCTACTCAGTGCTGTCAGCCTCAGCACTCTCATGGTAAACTCTGACAGATATGCTGCTATAGAGTCAGAGCAGGAAGCCAAGAGAAAAGCTCTGAGAGGACTCTGCTAGAGGTGGGGACCTTGCAAGTTTATCACTGTGACTCCCCACTCCCTCCCTGCAAACAGGAAAACTCCTTGTGCTTCTAGCAGCGGGAGCAAAGGAAACCACACAAGGGACTGTGCATCAGTGTAGCTACACATGTATCGACATTTAAAGGATCGTAAGAGTACTGTGAATACCCCATTTGCCTACAAATTTGATCCACTAGATGAAACACAGGAGTTCTCTGAAAAACATTATCTGATGAAGCTTCTAAATGAAGAGATAATCAGAATAGGTCTTATCTACAGACACTGAATCAATAACTAATAACTTTAAAACAGAAAGCACCAACTCCAGATGGGTTCAACTGTGAATTCTGTTGAACATTAAAGTAAGAAATTATAACAACCTTCTATTTTTCACAAGATAGAAGAGAAACTTCCTAATATGTTCATTCTATGAAGCAAGTATTACCTTAATGCTAAAGCAACAAAACAACACAAAACAATAAACCTCTACAGGCTAATATCTCAAGAAAAGACTGCAATAGCCTCAATAAAATGTAAGGTCAATCAAATACAACACTAAAGAAAAAATTAAATATCACTCACCTGTCAGAATTTATTCTAAGTATTTAAGACTGGCTCAACCTTCAGATATTAGCTAATTCATAGCATTAGGTTAAGTAAAAAAAAAAATCACATATAATCATATAAGATGAGAAAAAAACACTTGGCAAAATCTAGTACTTCTTCCTGATAAAAACTCTCAGCAGTACTACTTCGTAGCTTTAGAGGGCTGGAGAGATGGCTCAGAGGTTAAGAGCACTGACTGCTCTTCCAGAGGTCCTGAGTTCAATTCCCAGCAACCACGGTGGTGGCTCACAACCATCTGTAATGAGATCTGATGCCCTCTTCTGGTGTGTCCGAAGACAGTGACAGTGTACCTACATAAAATAAATAAATCTTAAAAAACAAAACAAAAAGTTAAACCCTGTAACACTAAACTTAAAGGTAATAAATTTCGAATTTCCCATTAAGATTAGGAACCAGGCTAGTGCAAGAAAGGTTAGGAAGGAAAGAACAGAAACCAGTGGTTCTCAACCTTCCTAATGCTGCGACCTTTAATCCAGTGTCTCATGATATGGGGACCCCTAATGATAAAATAATTTTTGTTGCTTCTTCAGATTTTGCTTTTATGAACTGTAATGTATCTGATATCATGATATTCAATATGTGTCCCCCCAAAGGAGTCCTGACCCATAGGTCTATGCAGAAAATCTGAAGACTCAACAAAATGATCTCAGATCCAATGAGCATTCACATTAAGGTTAATCTATAAAACTGGCTGCTCCATATGCAGCAGCAAACAGTGGTATCTGAAACTCCAAGCTCATGTACATTAGCACACCCAAAGTGGGACATAAAGATAGAACCTTAACAGATCTGTAAGACCTGCAAGAAAATGACAAACTGTTAAACCAAAGAACTAAACTGACAGATGGTCTGTGCACCGAGAAGATAACGGTGGGATGTCAGTCAGTCCTTCCTTAATCTACACTTTTAATGCACTCTAATCAAAATCCAAGAAGGGTTGTTTTGTGTTTTTGGCTTTTTTTTTGTTTTTGTAGATTTTTGACAATCTTCTCAAAACTGTATATAAGGTGAAAAACTTAACGGAGAAGGACGATTTATAGTAAACTTGTAGTAACCAAGATAGTGTGGAACTGGGCATGGTAGCTCGTACTGTAATACCAGCACTTAGAAGGGTGAATGAAGTAGAAGATAGTCATAATTTGAGGCTAGTCTATATACAGAGACAGTGTAAGCTATCTCAAAATGAAAAAATGAACAAACAAAAAAACCCTTAAAAAACCCAACATTAAAACACAAACATGGCCGGGCGGTGGTGGCACACGCCTTTAATCCCAGCACTTGGGAGGCAGAGGCAGGAGGATTTCTGAGTTTGAGGCCAGCCTGGTCTACAGAGTGAGTTCCAGGACAGCCAGGGCTAAACAGAGAAACCCTGTCTCAAAAAAACAAAAAACAAAAACACAAACATGATCAATGAAGCAGATGAAAGTCCAGAAATACGATTCACATAAACATAATGAACTCATTGTGTAAAAGAAACAAAGGGAATGGAGACAGGACTCCAACAAAAGGTGTTGGGTTAATGAGCCATCAAAAAATTAATCTCAATACAGATGTTACCCTTGTCACAAAAATTAATTAAAAATACACCACAGGTGGACAAATGGCTCAGTGACTAAAGACACTTGCCACCAAGCCTGACAGCCTGACTCCTGCAAGTTTGTCCTGTGTTCCCCTCATGAATGCCATGGCACACATGTGCCCACCCTACCACTGCAACCAAAAAAAAAAATCACAGACAAACATAAAATACAAAGGTATAAACTACTAAAAGCAAAAAAAAAAAACAAATTTAAATGCTGTTGCCTTGGTGATGACCAGCACAATGTGTCACCAAATGTATAATCCATAAGCTGATTTCATCAGAATTAGAAAATTTAGACAGCCAAGAGAATAAAAAGACACCCATACACAACAAGAAAAATTTCAAGACATATTAGAAGACTGTTACACAAACATACATAGAACTCTCACCAGGCTGTGGTGGCACACATCTTTAATCCTAGCACTCCAAGGGCAAAGGCAGGTGAATTTCTATGAGTTCAAGGCCATTCTAGTCTGCAGAGTTCCAGGACAGCTGGGGATACACAGAGACACCCTGTCTTGAAAAACCAAAAGAGCTCTCAAAACTCAGTAATAAGACAAGACTTTTAGGAAGTGGGCTGAAGAGCATCCACAGTGAACATACACTGTAATCCCCATACCTAGAACTGAGCTTCAGACCAGCCTAGGCATAAAGTGAAACCTTGTTTCAAAACAACAAATACAAACAGAAAAGCCTAGAAAACCGAGGATTCAAATACCTTAATAAAACTCTTCCCAATGATGATGAGGTGGGAGATAGGTAGATGAAATGACATGGAATACCACACCACTATTAAACTAACTGTACAATAATGGCCAAAGTCCAGAGTTCTGACAATATCAAGGCTGGAGCACTAAGAAGTTCCCATCACAGCTACTTGGGAGGACAGTTTGCCTCCATCCTGTGTTCCCTTCCTCTCTCAACAGAACCCTTTTTTATTATTACCATCATCATCATCATCAACAACAACAACAACAACATTCCTTCCTTCCCAACTTTTCTCAGATCCTCCCTGGCAACGTTTCTTTTGAGATAGGGCCTCACTATGTAGTCTGGTTGATCTCAAACTCACTATACATAGCCAAGACTGGGCTCAAAATTGTGAGCTCCTCTTCCCTCTGCCACTCAAGTGCTGGAATTATAGGTACACACCACCACATTCGGCCTTCAGTCTAACAATTTCTTACTAGATAATCTGAAGTTCCAAAGGAAGTGAAAACTTGAGTCCACTCAAAATCTCTACATGGAAGCAAGTAAGTTATCCTTTAGTGTATGAGTGAATAAATTGTAGAATACACAATGGATTTTATTCTGCACTACAAAGAAAATGAAAATATGTAGGAAACAGTACTTAATACTAACTGAAAGGAGCCAGTCTGAAAGAGTACACTGTCAATGAATCAAAGTATCTGGAACTCTAGAAAAGGCAAAAATAGAAACTTGAAAACAAACAAACAAACAAACAGTGGTTGCCAGGTGACAGGGTGGAGGGAAGAATGGTGAAACACAGAGGGTTTAGGACAGTAGAGCCACTCTGTATGGCACTACTACTACTGGCAAACAGATGTCATTATAAATTTGTAAAAACCCAGAGTGTACAGCACTGCTGGTGACCCTGATATAAGCTATGTGCTTTGGGTATTAATGATGGGACAATGCTAGTTCACTCATTTTAACAAATATATACTGTTCTGTGATGGAGGCTGATAATGAGAGAGACTGTGAATTTTGGGGAAACAAGAGGCTACATGGAAAATCTCTAACAGTCTGTACATACATATAAAATTATACATGAAGTTGGAGAAATGGCACTGAGATTAAGAGCACTGGTTGCTCTTCCAGAGAACTCTGGGTTCAATTTCCAACACCCACACGGTGGTTCACAAGCATCTGTAACTCTAGTTCCAGGAGACCTGACGTCCTCTCCTGGCCCCTGGGGTACTGCAGGCATGTGGTGCAGACATGCAGGCAAAATGCCTATACACATGAGAAAAAAGATTATGAAGCTGGAGTCCCGAGGACTAGAGGAAGAGGAGGGCTGCCAAGGCAAAGGTACTGCGTGGAGTACTGGGGAAAATATGCTCAAAGTATATTACCTGTGTGAAAACAGCCTAGTGTGATCCTGTACAACATGCACACTATTAATACAGGGGCATCCAGATTCCTTCATTAAATATGACTTAACTTCATCTGTAGGGTATAGTTACATGGAAACCACAGATCAATCAAAAAAATATTTGTGTATATTCTAGTCTATAGGTGAGGAGTATCCCAGAAACAACTACTCAGAACAGACTGAGTCCTTTGTGGCTAATGTCTTTTGAAAAATCTATTCTTCACACCACACCATCTTGCTGCACCTCACTAAGGACAACGTTGCTCCTGTCAGCAGAAGCTACACACAAGTGCACTCAAACAGTGGCACTCCAGAGTGCCTGCCAACAGTCAACACCATGGAGTACAGCACAGCACTGCACCAAGGGAGAAGGCTGTGAGTGAAGCTTGCCCTGATCCACAGCAGCCTCTGATCAAGTCCAATACAGAATAAACCACTGCAGTTAAGTAAAAACAGGCAATTTTGAAAATTCAAGTATTGCTGTACAGAGATCAGAAAATAGAAAAGCAACTAGACTA